AATGATAATAGCACCTTCTTTCTCCCATCTTTCTTTAATGTACGTAGTAGGTTGTTTTGTCCAAATTGGGTCTTTACTACCTCCTTACCCTCCTCTCCAGTACGTGTCATTATGCCATTGGTTAGAATGGGCTCAAGGGTGAATCTAGCTCCTTAGAGCAAAGAGCCTGAAATAAATATTAATGCTGAGAGTAGAAACATAAGCAAAATGACAACCATGAATGAGAATCAGAATATCTACTGAAGCTTTCAGTCAATTATTACATGATTATTTTAGTATGACCATTAAATAAATAAATGATTTTCAAAATAGCTAATAAATATGATATTTCACTGTGGTAATGTTATATCGCAAGAAATATTGCTTTCTAAATTTCAAAACATGATTGCATATTTATCCTGTATCATGCAACCCTATTTCAGATGATTCAAATGTGATTTATATTTTGAACACTAAAACACTAAAGAAAAGCATTCATTTGAAATTGACCAAATTAAATGAAAGAATAATGATATTAAAGTATTATAGATAAATATATAATACTTAGGTGTTTAAATAAATCGGAGATATATTTTCTATTGATAATCCCTTTGATCCATCTGAAGCTACCCTGGATGTGATACCTGAAGGAGAATTAACTATGTGCTTTAAACATTGTTTTCTGCGGTGCTAAAATATATTGCATCTAACTGTCTCAGATCAGACCACTCGTATATGAGCAATGGATCGGAAAAGTTGGAAAAATTTACAAAAAGAAACTAATAACACCTTAGACTTCAGATGAATATCTTTGAAGCAAGATGGAGTCCGATCTTAAAAACAATGCATAACTAACTTTAAATGTACATTGTGGATTCTGTAAACAACTACATTACATACATGGTTTGTATATATATCCTTTTTCTAAGGCCCCCACCCCCCTTGTTTTTTTTTTGTTTCTTTAAAACTACATATAGGTTGTTTTTGAATCACCTGGTTCTGGTGATGCACGTAATTCAGATGTAGAACAGGAAGTAAAAATCTGAATGGGAGACATAGAGGAAAGCCTGTATTTTTGCGATTTACACCATATTTCAAAGGAGGTATAAATTGAAAATAAGCACATGTGTTGGGTATGACCCCTATACCATAAAGAGCGTCAAGTTTTCGACTGAACTAAAATATATCATCAACATAGAATTATAAGGTTCTATCTGACATTTTTGTCAAAATTGAGGTATACAAGTTGTTTTGATTTTAAACTAAAATCTCTCTTTTTTTTTTTTTTTTTTAAACAAATGTTACACTCATAGTTTGCCTTATGAAATGCAAGCACTTTGAAGCTCAATATCTCAAAGTCATTCAGAACGCAGATGTAACCTTATAATTCCAAGATGACGATATTTGGCTGTCATCGAGGCAGTAGATACTCTATAAGCGATTGCATTACATGAAAAAATACTAGTGTTTGAAAGCAAACTATAGATAATTGATTGAATTAAACTGTCATAGTAATTATATTGTTGCTGTGGTACAACACGACTGTAGAAATAAACTAATTATTCAATAGGCTTCAGTTTTCTACGCTATAATCACACTGCACCACAGTTTACACTTGCGTTACAGTATATATTACAGTTTATCAGTTTACCATCTTTACCGTCTTTCGGATGAGACGTTAAACCGAGGTCCTGACTCTCTGTGGTCATTAAAAATCCCATGGCACTTCTCGTGAAAGAGCAGGGGTGTAACCCCGGTGTCCTGGCCAAAGTCCCTCTATCGGCCCATATGATCATGGCCTCCCAATCATCCCCTTCCACCGAATTGGCTCTATCACTGTCTCTCCACTCCACCAATAGCTGGTGTGTGGTGAGAGCACTGGCGCCGTTGTCCTGTGGCAGCCGTCGCGTCGCATTGTAATTATACAATGTTAAAAAAAAAATAAAAATGGGGTTCCACATAATTGATTTGTGTTGGGGCAACATAAAGGAATTTAGTTAACTTTAAGTGGGTTGAACATAAAGTTGTTTCCCTAAAAACTCAAGAATTGTGTTGTTCCAGCTTAGTTTAAATAAGTAGTTTAAATAAACAGATGTCTCTTTATTATTATTATTATTATTATTAATTTTTTTTTTTTTTTTTAAGTGTATTCACAAATGCATTTTTGGAGTTTATCAATAACACCGACATATTTCCTAAACAGACCCGCTGATGGACACTCTCATGACCGATCCCGTGCAACTTCCCTCGGGCAACATAATGGACCGTTCCATCATCCTGCGACACCTGCTGAACTCTCCCACTGACCCCTTCAACAGACAGCCTCTGACCGAGAGCATGCTGGAACCAGGTGCCAACCAGCACTGCCAAATGCACTCACTGACTTTCTTTTAATTATGAGACGGTCTGATGCTGACTCTGCTTTTATCCTCTCCACAGTCCCAGAGCTGAAGGAGCGAATCCAGGCCTGGATGAGAGAGAAGCAGACCGGCCGCTACTGAGTTTTCTCAGCTTTACATGTTTTCACCATGCTGGAAGTGAACTGGAGAAAAAGAAGAAAGGAGAAAAAAAAAAAGAAGTACCCAAATTGTTTTTGCCTCCCTTTATCCTCTTAATCGAGTCGGAAAGGCTCATGGTTCTAAATTGAAGCATAATAAAGTTTAGACTTTTGAAACTGTTTGATTTTTGAATGTGTATGTCTCCATACATGCCAAGCTGAAAAGGGCACACAGTTTCACATCTCAAAGTGCGTTTGATTATCCCGATGGTGAGGGAAAACATCTTTTTTTGTGTTTTTCGTGAGACTTGAATGTTGAGTAACACCAGTATTTCTATTTTTACGCCGAGTATAAGTAAAAAACATTGGCTCTAGATATACAATTTACAACCAAGTCTCAAACTTGCTGTTTATTTTATATGGTCAGAGGAGGAAATTGAATTATAACAGGCCTCCTTGAGAAGAATACCATAAATGTTGATGTCATTTGATGGTAAGTTACCATTGGAGTATCAGACTTTGACAGACTCTGTGTTTCATTTTTGTTTCTTTTTTGTACCCCATAGACTAAAAGCTAAATCAGACGTCTGAGCTCAAACCCAGGATGAAATGAAAGAATGTGAAGCTGTGTTGTAGCATGATCATTATAAAATGCCAGTACAACATGTCTCTTTCTTTTTTTGTTTCGTTTTGTTGTTTTCACCACAGTTTTTTGGATCATAAACGTTCATCTTTTATTATTAATATTAACCCCAGCTGTTGGATTCTAGCATAAATTAAAGAGTGTTTTTTTCCAGTGACTTAAAATGGTTTATCTATTCTGTACAGGGATTTGCTTCCTTTGCTACAAACTTCTTTTGGACCCAGCTCTTTGAACTGTAATAAATGGTAATGCGCACACAATTATAGCTGTTGCATTTCCTTTCTTACATCATCATCCACATATTTTGCAAAACAAAGGCAATTAAGTGTAGATGGTATTTTTTACGCCATAAAATAATAATTGTGCCATTTATGAATAATATTTAAGTTTATTTAAACTATTACCTTTTATTGTATGGTATTACTTTATATTTTTAGATGTTCTATTTCACTATATTGCAGTAGTACCTTTTTTCATTTTTATAAAAGAATACACTTTTATGCTATAATTGTTATTTTATATAATAACCGGATTGCTACTATATTCCTTAAATATTATTATACTTTTTAATAATATTTAGATTTTTTTTTCTGCTTCAAGTTTAGTAACCAAGGCTTATTTTTATGCTAATATAGATGTTTGTTTGTTTTTTTTTTTCAAAGATGCTTAGTAACTTTGTCATTTCTATTATTTATTTGAAATGTAGTTATGTATTTTTCTCTTTTAGTTTCAGTTAGTTCAACATAGGTTTTTTATGTTTTTGTGGTTATAGTTAATCAACTGAGCAAGGTTTAATCTTTCACCATTATATCAAAAATATACATAATTATGTATTTTCTATTACAAAAGTGTAATATACAAAAAAAAATTTTTTTTAATTAATTGCTCTCAGCGAATTACCATTTGCATTGTTTTGCATTTTTAAGAGAATTTAGTTGTATCAGTATTTTATTATATAAAATATAATATATATATATATATATATATATATATATATATATATATATATATAAATATATATATATATATATATATATATATATATATATATATATATATATGTGTGTGTGTGTGTGTGTGTGTGCGCGCACATATTTCTTAAATAATATACTTGTTTGCTTTAGATTTTGTATTTTTTCTGCTTTTAGTAACAAAGTCTTATTTTTATTCTGACATAGTTTTTATTATTTATGTCAGTAGTTTTTGTCATTTCTATTTTTTTCCTAAATATGTCATTCCTTTTCAATTTTAGTTGGTTTTGGTTCAAGTTCAGCTAACTCAAAAACGGAATTTATATTTCTAAAATTATTTTAGCATGTTTTTTATGTTTTGTGGTTATGGTTAGTCAACTGGGCAAGGTTTAATCTTTTCCCATTATACCAAAAATATACATAATTATGTATTGTCTTACAAAAGTGTAATATGCGATAAAGCATTTTCTTTCTTTTTTTAATTAATTGCTCTCAGTGAATAACTATTTGTATTGTTGTGCAAGTTTTGAGAGGATTTATAGTTTTATTAGTATTTTACAAAACAATAGATGTAATTATATATAGTTTCTAATTGTATTATAATTGATAAAACTTTAGCCTGATAGTACAATTAAATGTGAGTAATTTAGGATTCTAAAGAATTCATCTGATGAATTTTTAAGTTTACCCATTTTTCTACTAGGCGGCGCCCTTCACTTTTGTGTTTTGTGATGCCACGCCACAGCGGATCGTAAGCGACCCTGCAGTATTGCGTCACGGCTGCCCAGCCCACATCTGCTTTTCCAGCGTTCTCATTGGTAGCACGACGCATTGCTCACAGAATTCTGCATTCTTATTGGCCAAGCGGTCAGTCATTCACGGTGTTGACAGTGCAGTTGACGTAATCATTTCAGTAAATCAAGGCATTCATCCATATCCTAAGCCTGCTAGAGGAACGGTCAAACGACACCAGAACCTGCCTCAGAAAATAAACCCTAATCGCAAGCATTTTGTGCAGCGCTGGCGAATGAAACGCAGCTATAATGGGTGTTTATAACAAGAAAGGAACTATTAAGAACTTAATCATCAGTCTTTTTTGATTTTTGCTGCTGGTTGCAGACGTCATTTGAGAATTGGCATCGTGCAGGATTTCTATGGTGTTCTAGACGTGTATTGTGGATAAATAACGGTAAGTGGCGTCTATTCTTTAAGAAGACAGTTATATTGATACGTTCGAGTTGGAAATGTAATGTCCGAGTACGTTAGTTAGCGTTTGGGAATGCAAATGGCTGTTTACAGAAATGTTTTGCTTGTTTTTGTTGCTTATTTCTTCAGCGCAGATTAACGTTAATTGTGTTATCATAGAGTTAATAACAGTTATTTTATTTATACATGATAATACACATTCTAATGGCATGCAAAGAAAGTCGCCGAGTTCATAGAAAGACATCCGATTAGTGATGGAAAGTTCGGCACATTTCTTCTGATCGGTTCTTTTGAACAGTACCGGCTTGTAACCGATTCAGTGATTCAAATTACGGTGCGCTACAAATCTTCGTATTTTCCCTACATTTGTCGGTTGTTAGAGCCTTACGAATAAACTGACAAGCGATTCTCGGTTGAATACACCACAACAGATAATATTGATGAAGATTGAATTGTTCACAGCGATTGGAGGAACCGGTTCCCTTAAAGATCCGATTCAGAAGAATGATTTGTTATCGCATCGTTACATGCGATCGTTAAAGGAGGCGACAGTATAATGTTTTAGCCTTACAATCAGTGTTTTTATAGATTATTAAACGACATAGTTTGTCAATTGTGCCACACATATGGCAACGCCGGTGATGCATTGTTGCGAGTCTATCAGTATCCCGTCTCCGTTATTAAGCACTCAAGGAACTCTGCGGATTTGTCGAGCTATTAGCGTTTTTAATTAACATTGCTTTGTTTTAGTAACGTTAATACAAGTGTCTATTAAAGCAGATGAACGAACAAATAGTTTTATAACCACTCGTTCATGAAGTAGACGTGTTTTCTCCGGCAGATTGAATTTCATGGGCGTATGCCATTAATTCAATGAATGACAACAAGGACAAGATGAAAACATCCTCTTTTTTTGGTGTCATGTGCTAGAACAGTTATACTCGTAGGTTTGAACAGAATTTTTTTTGTTACATCGTCATATTCGCTTTAATTCACAAACGGGTCAATAAAACCATCATTAAAAACCAAATGTCACGCCCATAATTGTTACACGCAGTGTAACAGTACACAGACTGGTCTTGTTATATGTCAGTGCATGTATTTGTGTATGTAATGCTGGTCCGGTGACAGTTAGTCAGATGTGTTTACTAGTAAAGAGTGTGTGAACAGGCCCAGCCCTGCAACTGCAGGCGAGCGGCAGCCATGTTTATGAGTATGTGAAGAACCCATGAAATATTCCTCATCATCTACATCTGTCTACCTGGATGTTTACCTGCATGTCATGGGATTGCCTTTGACAACCGGGTATTTGAAGGCAAATCAGTTGTTTATGTAAATGAGGCTTCTCTAGAGACTATAAATATTTTTAGATTCATTATTAAGATGTAGGTTAAATGTACATATAAGATAAAGCGTATATCTTGGTCCTGAAATAACACTTATTTCTATCGTTTTTTAAAATCTAAATCATGTCTTTACGTTTAAGTAAACATTCTGTCATTTCATTTTAAATGACTATCTGATAGGAATTGTATTTTCCCACATTTTCATAATTCTTGTAAAGTTGCATAATAGTTGTATATTGATTATAAAGAACTAGAAAAGAGATTAGTTGTAGCTTATCTCAACAGAGCAAACTGCTTGAAATGTCAATTATGTATTTTATATACATGCAGCTTTCCAGCTGTCATGAAAAACAATGTACAAAAAGTCCATACTTGGTTGGAAATGTCATGGCATGAAATGCATGTTGATCTCCATGAAACAAATGAATAAAACAGACTGAACAAGTGACTTCATTTCGAAATACAAATAACATAATGTATATATATTTTAAAATTACAGATAGGCTTTTATTTCCTAAAGAAGCAGACCCTTATCCAGGGTTCGGAAGACCCACCAGTCACTGAAAAAGGTCCAGAATTTTCCCATAAATTAGCTCATTTGTCTTATTTTGACTGCTATGCCATCATAAATAGTAAAAAATAACCCATCAAAATGGCTTTAAGACCAAGTGGAATCCTCTGCTGGCTGTTACTTTGGTGTGACTTCAGCTAATCCATTTTGTTCAATGCTAGCAATTATTTTTCATGAGTCCAACATCCAACTGCTAGAAAACTTACAATCTGAGGTAAGCGAAGTTTTCTTTCGCTACTGTATTGTTTTTAAATTGAGAAAACATTTTACAAGTAACTTTTATTCTAAATAATAATAGACTTTATTCTTCAAACAAAAAATTACCAGTAAACATGTGAATCACTAAAAGTGGCCCATATTTAAATTGATTTAAATACTATTGTGGCTATTGTTGTTATCCATGATTTTTCTAATGCAATTTATTACAAGAGAGGCTAGAAAATTGTGAAGCTCTACATTATTATTATTATTATTATGACTAAAGTTGAATGTGCTGGCCAGTTTGTTATTTGCCTAATAAATGACAGTAGCCTTTAGTTTTTAATTTAAAACTTTAACAGATAATGAGATGTGACATAATAAATTTGTATTCGACAAGCTAATCCAGCTAAAGATTGTGCTTAAGTTCACTAAAATGCAGTATTTAAATCTTATAATTAAAAAGGAAATGAGGTGTAAAAACTGCAAAAACATCCACTTTTGGAGAAAAAGAACCATCGCTTGCACCAGACTGGCTACAGGCCTGAGAAATGTACTTTTTTTTTCTGAAGTTTTGATTGTTTTGATTGTGTGTCAAATATGCCACAGTCTGCTTTATAGGATTAATTTTACCAAGTGTCTTTTTTGTAGTTTTGTTTAAGCTGTAAATTGCTTACTGTGAGGAAAAAAAATCCTAGAAAAGTTAAATCACAAGTAAACCGAGAGGTCAAGTCATCTCTGTCTTTTATACTTCTCTTGGGTGTCCTGTAGTTTAAAGAAATCTCCAGTGACCGGTAACCTCTTGCATCATGATGTGAATGATGTTATAGTGGGTTCTGTCATTTGAGGCCTTGTTTACATGTTAAATCTCCTAATAATGTCCAAGAAATGTGTTCATGTACCTTTAGCCTAATTGTTGCAGCACTAGAAAAACATTCTGTTTCTTTTTTTGTAGAAGAAACATTTTGTGGGATTGAATCGCAACAGCTTCAACCATGTCTGGCGCCTCAGTGAAAGTGGCTGTCAGAGTTCGGCCCTTCAACTCAAGGGAGACCGGCAAAGAATCAAAATGCATTATACAGATGCAAGGGAACTCCACCAGTAAGTACACACTTGTTGTCATACTTTTTGTAAGCTTTTTGTTCACATGGCTCCAGACAAGGTGGCTCTAGTGTATAATTTTGGCTAAGAGGGTGCGAGGTGTTAAGTGTAAGATGACATTCAGAATTTATTGCTAATCTGCAACCCGAGTGGCCGAAAAGAAATAATAGAAGTGGAAATTATACTGAGTTTAAAACTAGAATGAAATGAGACCCTCTCTGAGCGAAAATCTCTTCCTTTTTGCAAAACCTACCCGACTCAAAACAGTTTCAGCCTGAGGGCTTTGAGTGTTTGAAGATCTTGAACCTGCATATCAAGTCTTCTGTTCATCATTTCTGCATTAGTTTAGGAGTACAGGAAGAGAGAGCTGGTGAAAGGAAATGAGCTGATGTTATCGGCCATCTATTGGCTGTTATCAGTATTACACACTAATGATGAAGAACGTGTGACCACACATCGTGAAATCATCGGTGCTTTGGTATAAAATAGTTGTTGGAGTGAAGTTGTGGGACTTGAGAGATTTACATCACAAGATTGAAGATGGTAACGTTTTACTAGTTCGCTTGCATTGTGAGCGTAGCTTACTTCACTGTGTCAGATGTTTTTTGGGCAGCATATGGGTTGTTAACGTCCATCTGCAAGCGATGAGTCATTGTTCGCACTGAGCTGTGATTCATCAAGCTGTTCTGAACAAGGTAACATTAGCAGGTTGACCACAGAAATAGTGGTGTGCTAAGCTGCGTTAGAAAAGAATGTTGGACCTGTGTTACCTTGAAATGATGGCATGTCAGTGGTAAATTACACAGCGAGGATTTTTAAATCTTAGGAAAGAGATGAAATAACTTACCTTAGACTTTAAACTTGTATCAGTTTTAACTACAGATAGGTAGGCATGGGACTGTATAAGATGTTGACTGTATGACTACCTTGGATAAAAACATCATGGTTTCGTGGTATTGTGATTACTTCTTTAAAATATTTGTTTTTAAACTGTTCAAAGCTGTTCTCCTTTGAACACAATATATTTTATTTTAAGAGACATTTATAATATTTTGGAACAGTGAACATGTCAGGCTAAATAATTCAAATGAATCATTGATTTCTGCTATCGACATTGGTTTCAAAAAGACAGATTTCTTTAACATTTAAAACAACATCTTTGGATATCTTTTCTGCTGGAGATACTGTCATTCTAAAAAAAAAAAAAAAAAAATCTTTCACATACCTTAGGAACAGTATAGCAGAAAATTTTGGCGGTTTTAAAACCTTGACTTTTCCAAACCGCAAAATACATTGAAAACGGTTATTGTCCCATGCCTAGAGATAGGTATTAATACATGTTTTACGTTTTATTCAGTTCATAATCCATTTTTTTATTATAAAAAAAGTTCATTGTGAGAGATTGTTTCAATAATGCATAAATCCAGTTTCCATGTAAAAGAAAAGTTCTTTATCAATACATTTTTGAGGAAAAAGAGACTTTTGAAAGAAGCTCACCAAGCCTGTGCTTATTGGGTCCAAAAAAGTGAAAATAGTTAATCGTTTATTTATTATGGTGATGGAAAAACTAAATATTAAGCAGCCGTTAGTCCAGTCTTATGTCACATGATGCTTTAGAAATCATTTTAATCAAATTGTTTTGTTACATTTTTGATGATATTTTTTTTTTCTAGAGTCTTTGATATAAATTTAAATGGAAATTGAGTTTTATTTTTGAACCAGCGTGTAAAGTATTTACTGTCTTCTTTGACCAAATTTACGCATTGCTGCTGAACAGATTTTGATTTCTAAAAAGAAATTGTAAGAACAATCATTAAGATTATCAATGTAATCCAGTTAATAATTAACACTGTCTCCAAAATATTGAGTTCAGTTGCTATTTATTTAACAGTTGAATGATATTTTTAACAGAATTAAATTCTCATTCTGAATCACTGAATTATTGTGCTAATGTTTTTGATTCACTACTGACACACTGTAAAAATGTAACACCATCTCATGGCAAATTGTAACTTTTTGATTTAGTTGCTAATTCATATGAATTTATATGATCTTAGTCGTACAATTTAGTATGATTTGCTGATCCCCCAATTACGGTTGGGGTTAAGGGCAAGTTGGGTGCCACACCTTTTTAAAATCATACATTTTCGTACAACTGAACTTGTACAAATTAGTGCGAATTAGCCACTAAACTGACAAAATGTTAAATAGTTAAGTTTCCTCGTAAGATCAGGCTGAAAATAAAAATGACATAATAAAAAAGTCATGACAACTTATGTTTTTACCTAATTTAGAAAGTGAATCGGTTTCAACTCATTTTTAAGTTAAACAAATTTTAACTCCAGCTGAATTAATGCAAGTTAAAATGACTTTTAATGTTTAATTGGTTTCACTTTAAAAAATTTAAGTGAGCACCATGTTTTTACAGTGCAACAACAACAACAAAAAGTATTTAAAAAGGCTTTTCATCTGTAAATCTGGCATGACTAGTAGTTTATTTAAAACAAATTAGCTCGTGAGAGTGAATCTGAAGCTCCATTTCTCATGCATTAGACCTCCAAATCTGGCTTTGTTTAAAGGTTTCATAGTGCAGCGTTGACGTGTTCTAGGTGAATTTGGTCCATTCAGAAATCAACTGAGAAACTTGAGTAGATTCCAGAGCATTAGCACATCCATCTTTTAATAGCTGTGTTATCTCATCCCAAATGTTTGGGCCGTGAGAGACTATTGTCACGTTGTCTTCATTAACATAATCATTATTAACCAATAGCTTTTCTCTAAACCCCATGGTAAACAAAGGGTCCCGGAGGGCTGTACAAGGTCACCTGATAGAGAAAGCCTGATTCACAGGAAGTAGAGCTCAGAAACTGCAGTCACACACAACCCTCGAGCACACATGCGCAGACTGAAACCAGAGTGTGAGGTTTGGCATTCGGCCCTCCTCCTTCATTAGGACACTACTGCAGATGGTATGCTGGGAATGTTGTCTTATTACAGTGCTGAGCCGTCAAAGATGCTTGTGACAAATATTTGCAGCCAAATGCAGAATGGCCTTAATGTTTGGTCTCAGAAGTGTTTCGTTTGCTCTGGGAAACGTAACCAAGGTGATAGCCATTGCTTAGACTACATGTTCAAGGCAAATGTTTGTCTGCACTGTTTGTTTGCACTGTTTCTGCCATGAAGTGAAGACTTATGCAGACATATAAATAAAGACTTTATTTAAAAAGCATTTTCAGTTCAATTTAGATCTTTATTTCTTTAGAGCTTTTACAATGTAGATTGTGTCAAAGCAGCTTAACATAGAAGTTCTAGTAAACTAAAACTGCTTCAACTGAAACTGCACGTTTTCAGAGTTGGAGTTCAGTTTAGTTCTGTTTAGTGTAGTTTAATTTTCACAGAGTAAAACTGCACACAGCATACATTTAGTTCTTATTTGGCCTCAAAATCAACATGCAACAAATAGCCCACAGTCAATGCAAACTTCTCATGTGTGTCTTTAATCTTCAGCAGCACATGTAACCTGTTAGAAAGTCATTCCGAGTTCATATTAGTCCAAAAGGTGATGATAATAGTTAAACATGGCACTTTGTTCATGTTTTATGCAGAAAGCATCATTTGCTGCTGTTTTTTCTGGCTTTTTTTTTCCGCGCTTCACTCTCGCGTTTGTCCCTCTCTGAAAGGATCGGTTATCAGAAGCTCTTCAATGATCAAGGAAAACGTTATTAATACAGTGTTACCTCTAGGATTTTTTTCAGCTGTGGCAGCAGCCTTTTACACAGATCCATCAACTACCTATGGCGTTATTTCAGTGACAAATGTCATAAGTATTACAAGTCAAGTTCGCATTTATGTATTGCGCGCCGATTTCTCCTGTTCGTGCACAAAACTTCTTGCACACTCTCAAATATATGCTGCTCAAGTGCAGATTTTCTTGTGCGCTCTCAAATAAACACTGCTGGAGTGCGATTTAGTGCGTTTATGTAACGAGTATGTCTAATATTTAGTAGATTTGCTAAGAATATTTCTGAATGTCTCTAATAGACTTACAGAGTGGCACTAATGCATCCTGAAGTAAAGTGAAACGGCCGAAAACTAGTATGGCAGGATAAAGTCATTGCAAGCAAAAGCATAGACCTTTATCTATAAATAAAGTATAATAGTGTTCATCTTAACTGAAGGCTACATCATGTTTGCTATAGCCTGACGCATCACGCACCTGTCAGTCAGTCAGCATGTCACTTTAATGGGTTAAACAAATAATGCACAGCACTACTATGATTATAGAAAAGTTTGCGCTGTTGTAATTAATGTACCTTTTAATAGATTTTGGTGCGATTATAACCCGCTATTAAAAAAACAACGACTGAATGTTTTGAATGAGATGCTGTAATATAGCCGTGGCGGGATGAATTTGGGTGTGGGCCCCGCCATGGAAGAATAAATGTTGCAGAAACCATGTAATATGAGCTCAAGAAGTTTGTTATTTCAAATATAGAAGCGCAGTGAGCTCCCTGGAGAAAGTGAAACCACTCACACTTTTAGACGGGCTCGTGAAAAAACAACAGGACACAGCACATTTAGTTTTTCTTGCTTTGTGGCTGTTCATCAAGACGATGACAAGGTTTGTTTGAGCTTGTGTCGACCATCGCTTGTTATATGCATATATTATAACGTGTAATGTCTCAGCAGTGTTTTTAAAAATAGCGGTTCCTTTGTTTTCATTCTCCTGCTTCTGCGAATTATGTTTCTCTATAAACCAATAGCGTTCAGCTGTGCGTTTTGCTCCAGCTTTTGGTACTCTTTTTTTTTTTCTTTTTTTCTTTTTTTTTTTTTTCGTGCAAGGTATCTATGCAAAGGGTAACCAAAATGTGGTATGATTAATTTTAGTTACCCTTTGACAATGGAAACGGCCATAAAAAAAGCGTATCGAACTGTACCGTACCTCTTAGTGGAAATAGGTCATAATTATAGACAAGTTGTGACCACAATCCCTTAGTTGG